TTCGGGCTTAGGGTTTGGGGTTTAGGGTTTCGGGCTTAGGGTTTAGGGCTTATTTGGTTCAAGGCTTGCGGCTCAGGGTTTAGGGTTTAGGGTCTAGGGTTTGGGCTTTGGGGTTTTGGGTTTAGGGTTTGGGGTTTGGGGTTTAGGGTTTGGGGTTTAGGGCGGAGTGGTCTTGTTTGACAAGGCCGCACGGCAAAAGGTCAGAGCTCCCTTCGACGGAGACGGACAGCTTCGCGCTGCACCTGGTGGCTCTCCACTAGGGGCAGAACAAGCTGGAGCCCTAAACCCTAAACCCCAAACCCTAAACCCTCAACGAACAAGTACGGACCTAAGTGACTCAACAAATTGCAGCAAGAAGCTCAACCAGAGGCTGAAAGAAGGCACGGGACGAACTACGGATGGTATTCCCTTAGGATCCCTTTGTAATTATACTATAAACCGTTTAGAAGCCCCCCCCCCCTCCAAAACCCCAAACCCCAAGCCCCAAAGCCTGAACCCCAAAAACCCTATTAAGACTGAAGAAGGCACTAAGGCTACCGATGATGTGTCGTTGATCACGGAAGTCCGGTTGGCGTCTGCCGTCTTCGTTGCGTACCTTGGATCGTTTTCGCAGGGTCATGTAGCATGGGGTGTAGGGTTTGAGGGTTAGGGTTGAGGGTTCAGGGTTCAGGGATTAGGGTTTAGGGGGCTCATTTCTTCGATTTGAGTGGGCGTGTTGGTTAGGGAGTCTCAGAGGAGAATACATGGGAGGTTACGAAAATGGCGAGCCTCTCCTGTAGACCCCAAATAGTAGCTTTCTTGTGAGGAACCCGAAACCCTAAACCCTAAACCCCAAAACGGGAACTCTTCGCGGGAGCAAGGGTCCTGTCCACATGCGGGAAGGGCCCGGGGGGAATCGGCTTTCCCAAGAACTCGCAGAGTGGACCCCAACCTTGGCTGGGTTGGAGGGCTTTTTGGGCTCTTGGAGTTTAAGGGTAAGCTTTAGGTTTTGGGCCTTTTTGGGTTTAGGGCTTAGGGCTTAGGGCTTAGGCCTTAGGGTTTAGGGTTTAGGGTTTAGGGTTTAGGGTTTAGGGAATCCCAACGACGCATCCCTGGAAGCGGTTTCTAGAGACCCGGCAGCGAACTCCACGAAGAATCCTGGAATCCTGCGGTGCCCCCTAAACCCTGAGCCCTAAGCCCTAAGCCCTCAGCCCTAAACCCTAAACCCTAAACCCTAGACCCTAGACCCTAGACCCTAAACCCCATACCCTACGAAGCCCTCAGCACAAAGCCCTAAGCCCTAAGTTCCAAGCATGGGCATGTATGGTGCAGCGTCGCTGCCCCCCCCCCCCCCCCCCCCCCCCCCCCCCCCCCCCCCCCCCCCCCCCCCCCCCCCCCCCCCCCCCCCCCCCCCCCCCCCAAATTCTTTCCCTGCCCCGCCCCGCTGTGGGGTGGTGTGGTTGGGGTTTGGGTTCAGGGTTTAGGGCCCCGCCCCCCCCTGTGGTTTGGGCCGAGCGCAACATCAGTCTCGGAGATTAAGGTTACTGGGCGGGCCGTTAAACGGGTTTAGGGCTTAGGGTTTAGGATTTAGGGTTTAAGATTTAGGGTTTAGGGTAGCCCAAACGAAGGAGATGTAACGTATCCCAAAAACCATCCTAGGTGAAGCGGTTTAGGGCTTATAGGGTTTAGGATTTAGGGTTTAGGATTTAGGGTAGCCCAAACGAAGGAGATGCAACGTATCCCAAAAGCCATCCTAGGTGAAGCGTGGAGGGTTTTGGGGCGTCACCCTAAACCCGTGGACGCCGGCAAGCAGCCGTCGGACAGATTCAAGATGAGCAGTTGCCCCTCGGTTGGCCACTGAAATAATCTCTGAAAGATATGGGGGTTTACGATATTAGGGGTCCTTATGATGAGCGAACGAACCCTACTATTTGGGGGGTGTTAGTTGCCCCCATGAGAAATACAGGAAAATGAAGAATTCCAAGATCCTACCGAGGCTCCTTGGGAATCGTGCGGATCACCCTATCCTGATGTTGACGGAAGGAATCCAGGCATCTGTCCCGGACGTCTTTGTGGTGGCGCAGGTGGGGGTCGTCAAAGCGGCACCCCCAGAAATGGGCCGCCGTGCACATCCAATGAGACTCTGTGGAGCCCCACTCCTCCACTGGATTATATCCATTCATCCTTGGATGTCCGGTCGGGGCTTCAAAATCAGGTGCAGCGCGAACCTTCTCAACGAGTGTCAGTGTCAGCGTCAGCGTCAGCGTCTTCGTCGTCGTCGTCGTCGTCGTCGTCGTCGTCGTGGTGGTCGTCGTCGTGGTCGTGGTCGTCGTCGTGGTCGTCGTGGTCGTTGTGGTTGTTGTCGTCGGCGTCATCGTCGTTGGTATTGTCGTCGTCGTTGGCTGTGGTGGTTGTAAAACATGGGTGAAAGAAAACTCATGATGTAAGGTCGGCAAAAAGGCAACAACATAACTTTGCATTTTGGAATGTAAACGAATATGGTATACAACACAGTACAATACAGTATCATCGAACACAGCACATAGAATGCATCATGTGAGTAGCGGTCCAAACCTCTACAAGGTGGGGCCCCCTAGTTATAAGTAGAGTTATAAGAGCCCTAAATTGGGTTATAAGGATCCTAAATTAGGTTATAAGTCCCTTAACTACAGTTAGTACAGTAAGGGGGCCCCACCCTGTAGTACTGTACGTCCTGACTGGCGCGTGGAATAGGGTCGGCCCCCTATCGGTTATGCAGGAATTTCAAGATTGAGGGTATCGCTTTTTGGGGGGGGGGGGGGGGGGGGGGGCCTATCGCTTTCCGAGGTTTTAGGCATGAACGTGGATTTCTATCTCCGCCACAAGAAACCTCCTGCAACGTAATAAAAGTGGTCGCTCGTATGGGAGCTGGGTATCGGTTTAGGGGCGGCCCCTATCCTAGTTTGTTACATCAACTCCTCCCTGGACCTTAAGATGCATTGTATTTGGTGGGACCCAACACGTACTGTCCTCTGATCGCCTTCTCGAAGAAGCAAACCAGCATCACTATGTCTAGTACAGAGAGCGTATCTGCTAATCACGGTGTTCGAGCACAAGGTCGCCCCACGTTGTAAGCTTCTACTTCCATAGGGACTGCCTAAACCTTTAGCATATAGGGTTTAAACCCTATAGGGCTAAGCCCGTGAGGGTTTTAGAGATAAACCCTGCAAAAAAGTCTAAACATTTAAACCCTACATGCTTTAATGGTTTACAAACCTAAGGCCTGGGCATGTATACGTTCAAGGGTTAAAACCTTTGAGCCTTTTGGGGCCCTGTTGGGTTTTAGGGTTCAGACCCCCAAAGGTTTAGGGTTAAGGTTTAAATGCCTCAACCTTAAACCCTAAGGTTTGGACTCTATGGGCTTAGGTTTTAATGCCTATACATCTTAAACCCTAAACCTTTAAACATTAAACCTATAGGGTTCAAAGTTTAAAGGTTTAAGTTTAATTGCCGACCTATGTGTAAATGCCTAAATCTTACACCCTAAACCTTTAAACCTGAAGCATCTAGGGTCTAAAAGTTAAGGGTTTGGGTTTAATTGCTTATCCCGAAATTGTTTCGGGGCTTCTCTTTGAAACCCTAAACCCTTAAACGAATAGGTTTAAAGAATGAGCCAGAAGTGGAGCGCAGGGAAGGGGAGGGCTGGCGGGTGTTTAGGGGTCCTGGCTATGTGGAAGACCCCTGGTACCCTCCCCTTCCCGCCCCCTGTTGCAAATTTAATGCTTGTAAGCAATGAGTGAGTGACTCGGTGGTCGAGTGAGTGTGGGTTGATGCGTCAGCGGGTCAGTGAATTTGTGGTGCTGTAAATGAGCCAGTGAATCCTAGAGCCAGAGTATGGAAAGGAAATGCGTCCGCGACTCCCAGATTTTAGTACGGAGTGTTGAAGATGGTGGGCTTAGGGTTTTTTTTGCATTTAAGCTTGCATTTAAAAGCTTAAGTTGCATGCAGACCAGCCCCAGGAACCAAGAACCAAGATGCCCAGGACTCTTGATTCTTGGTTCTTAAGAATCAAGAGTCCTGGGCATCTTGGTCCTTGGCTCCTGGGGCTGGCCTGCATTTAACTTAAAACTTTTAAATGCGGTTTTAAATGCAGCCAGGCCCCAGGAACGAAGATTCCAAAATCAAGAGTCCTGAGCATCTTGGCTCTTGGTTCTTGGTTCCTGGGGGTGGTCTGCATTTAACGCAAATTTTTAAATGCGGTTTAAATTCACGCGGCAAGTAAATAAAGGTAGTGGTGTCGTGTGTCGTTTATTATCATGTGTTTGGCTATTAAGACATAGAAAACGTACAGTAGCACATCAACAACACAGCAACGACACATCAGCAGAGGGAAAAAGGGGAAAACAGGTGGATCTTTGGGGGGGGGGGGGGGGACTATATATATATATATATATATGTATATATATATATATGATATATATATATATGATATATGCGAAATTGTAGGAAACTTCTTTTTGCTGGTGGTCGGCTTTGGGCCTTTACGGTTCTCCAGCTTCCGGTCCCCAGCTTCTTGGTTTGGCGCGCTTCTTTTTAGAGGGTTTAGGGTTTAGGGTTTAGGGATTATTCTCCTCTCTTTATAAATAATGTTTTCTCCTATCATATGATATGTTCGATTCAGATGTTCTTTGAATTTTCGTGGCCATGATCTACTAAACTTATGTTGTACTTCATGTTGCATGTTTTACATCATGCGTCAAATTTTGGATATATCATATATGTTATAATGGTTCAGATTGATACGCCGTTAACACAGCCGAGTGACGGGTGCCCCAGAGGTCGTGGGAAGAAGTCTGCGCGTGTTCGCTCAGATAGCCGCTCACCCTGCTTTCCCCGCAGGCTCGACAGTCCTAGTTGAAGGGCAAAGGGTTTAGGGTTTAGGGTTTGGGGGTTTCAGATTCTGGGCGAAATTCATGAAGGGGCTGGGACTCCTCATTAGATATCAGTGAAAAGTAGAACAATATCTAAACCAGGATGCTGTGTGTCACGTCCGTCTCATGGCCCGGATAATACTTGTGCCTTTGGTAAACCTGGCGGTTCTCAGAGTCTCGGTCGCGCTCTTGGTATGCGTAGAACTCCAGGTACTGGTCATACCATGAATCTGGGTCAGCAACTGTGTACACGAACTTGGCGTCAGGAATCGCCTGCAGAACCTCATCATAGAGCAGATGGAAAGGCTCGTCCATAGCTGCTTCGAAGCCTGTCAGGTTGTCAAATGGCGGCCGCGTGCCATTGGCAAACAGATAATCGCACCAAGGCCATCGCAGTTGCGTGTAGTAACCACTCCAAAGGGCATTCAGACCCAGCTGCTTCAGTGCCTCAAACATACTTTGGGTGCCGCTACGCGGCGCCCCCACATCAAGAACGAACTCAGAGAGGCAAACGTGGAAAGCGGCAAGCAGGCACACCTTGCTGATCATGGTGTGCACGTAGGAAGCCACTGCCCGGATCTATGGAAACGGAGGGAAATGCCCTGTGGGTTTGCAGGGCAGCCTGTAAGCCCCAAGGCGACGGCACACACCTATCACGTGCAGCCCCGCCCGAAGCCCTAAGCCCTAAGCCCTAAGCCCTAAGCCCTAAACCCTAAACCCTAAACCCTAAACCTTCTGTTTATGAGACCCTCAAGAAGTCTTTGACCATTCTTTGGGTGCTGACACAATGCTCAGAGGGCTGAGAAGCGGGGGTTTAGGGTGTGCGCATGTGAATGCAGCTTAAGATTTAGGGTGTAGGGTTTAGGGTTTAGGGTTTAGGGTTTAGGGTTTTAGGGTTTTAGGGTTTAGGGTTTAGGGTTTAGGGTTTAGGGTTTAGGGTTTAGGGTTTAGGGTTTAGGGTTTAGGGTTTACGGGTTAGGGTTTAGGGTTTAGGGTTTAGGGTTTAGGGTTTAGGGTTTAGGGTTTAGGGTTTAGGGTTTAGGGTTTAGGGTTTAGGGTTTAGGGTTTAGGCTGGCCGAAAGAACAAGCCCTTTTGATCTCTCGTGTCAATATACACAGAGAATACACAAGAGTACAGTAACTATCTAGTGCATACGTAAAGATGTATTGATGCAGATGTACGTGTGTGTGCGCGGTTCTGTGTCCCGGGTCGGTACCCCCCTGCCCCCACCGCCCCAATAGAACTCAAACTGGGCACGCCTAGACTCTAAAACCCTAAACCTGAAACCCTAACTTTAGTGCAGGGCATGTGTATGTTGCTAGGCATGTGAATGCCTTGCATTTAACTGCACAATGAAACCCTAAACCCTAAACCCTAAAGCCTAAACCCTAAACCCTAAACCCTCGATCCTCAAACCTCCTTCAATGAAAGGCGGTTCACACTTAAGTTCGCGAAGGCCAACCGGCAAATTGCGGGAGGATGTTCTGGCAGGGGGTCCTACCCTCCACTTTCTTCTCCAATAGCCAAGGGGGGTTTGGGGTTTAGGGTTTAGGGCTTAGGGTTTAGGGTTCTTACTTCTCCAATGGCCAAGGAAAAAAGGTTAAACTTATTGCTCTAAACAAGGAAACCCAAGAAGCGTAAAGTTCAACTACTGGGTAAGTAAGTCCACATTGAACACAGGTTCAGGGTTTAGGGTTCAGGGTTTAGGGCTTAGGGTTTAGGGTTTAGGGCTTAGGGTTTAGGGTCTAGGGTTACCCGGCATCATGTGTTGAGTGCTTCGGTTGAGGGTCTGGTCGACCGCGGTATCTCTACAGCCAAATTTCTTCACTGCGCACACAAGGGTTTCGCATTTAGGGTTTAGGGTTTAGGGTTAGGGTTTAGGGTCAGTTTAGGGTTTGGGGTTTAGGGCTTAGGGTTTCGTATTGAGCTTTGGGGTTTAGGGTCAGTTTAGGGTTTAGGGTTTGGGGTTTAGGGTCAGTTTAGGCTTTAGGGTTTGGGGTTTAGGGAGAAGGGTTTAGGGTTCAGGGTTCGGAGCATCCTTCTCCGAAAGCCCTGAGTCAGGCCTAGGAGGGTCCCAGCAGTCGGAGGCTCCTCGAAAGTTTGGGGGGGTTTCCGGTTTTAGGGTTTAGGGTTTACGGCTTAGGGTTTCGGGATTAGGGTTCAAGGTTTCGGGTTTTGGGTTTTGGGGCTTCAGAGCTTGATGTCCATCGGATGTAGGGTTTGGGGGTATATAGGGTTTAGGGCTTCGGGTTTAGGGTCTCGGGGTGCCAGGTTTAGGGCCCCGGGGTTGGAAGCCTCAGGGCTTGAAATCTACTTTGGGGGCTTGGGCTTTCGGGGTTTCGGGGGTTAAAGTTTCGGGCTTCAGTCTGTAGGGTGTAGGGTTTGGGGTGCTCGGGTCGAGGCTTTGGGGCTAGCCCTAAGCCCTAAACGCCCTAAACCCTAAACCCTAAACCCTAAACCCTAAACCCTAAACCCTAAACCCTCTTGAAGCGGGATCCTGCATCCACACACTTCAATGCCGCAAAGAAAGGACCGTCTTCACTTTACGGCCCCTCCTTCCGCAGTCCCAGCGTTCTACATGTGTGCATCCCTCTTCAAGAGGGTTTAGGGTTTAGGGTTTGGGGTTTAGGGTTTAGGGTTTAGGGTTTGGGGTTTAGGGTTTGGGGTTTAGGGTTTAGGGTTTAGGGGCCTACCAAAATCGGCGCACTGCAAGGGCGGAGGAGTCTTCTTCCTAAACCCTAAACATCTGTTACCATATAGAAAAATGTATATCTAAATATTTACATGTTTATTGATTTTTAATGTATACATTTATGTATATATATGTATATAAATATGAATATATATATATATATATATATATATACAAGTGGGTGGGCATAGGCACGGCTTTCCTGAGCATGGGCACGAGGCACAGACTTTCGTGGGCACAGGCGTTAGGCATGGCTTGCCTATGCCCACGAAAGTTTGTGCCTAACATTTGAGCCTGGCAGGCCATTTAAGCCATGGGCACGCCGTAGGCCCTAAACCCTAAACCCTAAACCCTAAACGCTAAACCCTCAACCCTCAACCCTCAACCCTAAACCCTAAACCCTAAACCCTAAACCCCTAGGCTTTCGAGCCTACTGGCCCTTTTAGCTTGCTGGGGCGTATTGAGCCTTGGCATGCTGACTTGAAAGGAAAGCTGGCTTTGAGATGTGAAGCAACAGGGTTTAGGGTTTAGGGTTTAGGGTTCCTACTGTTGCGGGACACAGTTTCTCCTTCACTTTATTGGCTGCTTGACTAGTTGCTGATTGGACTTGAGATGCTGACCCAAGCGGCGTTATTTTGGGGTTCCTACTATCATGTGGAGCCATATATCAAGGGCAGTCAGGGAACCTAACTTAGAGACAGCGAGTCGACAGTCGGTACAGGGGCAACCGAAACCCAAAGCCCTAAACCCTGAAACCCGGAAACCCTGAACCCTAACCCTAAAATTCGACAGTCTTAAGCTTATGCCGGTCCATGTTAGGGATCTGATTTTAGGGTTTAGGGTTTAGGGCTTAGGGCTTAGGGCTTGGGGCTTGGGGCTTTCGCAAGCCTCCGGCCAGCACACAGCACGGTGAGTCGGCCAGTCTTCACCTCGGCATGGGGTGGAACCCAGAGACTCCAAAACCCCTTCATTAAGGAATAGACCTTAAATAGGGTTTAGGGTTTAGGGTTTAGGTTTAGGTTCCTATTGTAATTTAAGGTATATTCCTTAATTAAGGGGTTCCCACCGGGGCTGTCTTGGTTGTAGACTTTTTTAAACGGAGCTCTTAATGGACCACATGGGTTTGGGGTCAGGGGTTTAGGGTTTAGGGTTAGGGTTTCGGGCTTAGGGTTTTGGGGTTCTTGAAGGAGGGGGATTCAAGGGGGCATGTAGTGCAAGGTTCCCGTGGTAGTATAGGGCCTTGTATAGGGGTTTAGGCTCTTCGGGTCCGAGGTTTGGGGACGGGAGTACGGTTTTGTGGCGGGACTGGGCTTTCGGGTTTGCATAGGGTTTACAGGGCTGCTTAAACCCCCAAACCCTGAACCCTTGAACACATGCAGGCGGGCGTGCGTCGCTCGTACAGGCACCTCTCGATAAACCATTCTAAGGTGTAGGGTTTTAGGGTTTAGGTTTAGGGTTTAGGGTTTAGGATTTAGGGTTTGCGGTTTAGGGGTTAGCCACTTCTTGCAGGCTAAGGTTGGCCCTCTTCCGCGATTCCCGAAGCCGTAACCCTGAACCCTGCATTTCCACACTTGGAGGTTCAGAGTACTTCGTAGCCCATATTGGTTTAGGGTTTAGGGTTTAGGGTTTAAGGTTTAGGGTTTAGGGCAACCCATTATAAGTGTAGTCATAACCCACATAGAAGCCCCTTAAGTACCCCAATGGGGTTACAATTTGGGTTACAAGTACATTCATAATCGGGTTATATACTAAGTACCATGAACCTCCAAGTATGGAGCTTCCGAAAATAGGGCTACCTTTCTGGGGCTCACATAACGGTTGCGCATCTTCCTAATTGATGATACTTTTTTGTTGAGGGGGAGGGGAGGAGGGCTATTCATATCTCATGAACGTGAACTTGACGCGTCAACTTGATCAACCCAAACCCATACGCTGGCCACCTTGTCTAGAGGGTTGGGGGCCGATGGGGTGCTGAAAGGACGCCTTCCCCACCATTCCTGTGGGTTCGGGTTTAGGGTTTAGGCGTTGGGGTGTAATTAGGGTTTAGGCCTCGGATATTCGGGTCATCGGGAGCACAAGCACCAAGGCATTCCGCGTGAACACGAAACCTGAAGACAAGCAGAGTGGTGCTCTTTGAAAACAATGCGCAGCGGATGCAACAGAGCGGTCGGAATAATTGCCAGCGGTTTTTCCTTGTGGTCCCTATGTAAATAATGCTAGAATACCCCCACCCACCCACCCACCCCCCCCCCCCAAAAAAAAAAAAAAAGACACCGATTCTAGTTGTTCAGGCCCTTTTTTCGCAGAAGTCGTCAAAGCTCGCTTCGATGGAGCCGCACAGCTCCACGCTGCACCTGGTACTTGGCCACTGGGGGGGCGGGGGGCGGCGGAGGGGGGTGGGATCTCCATCATCCCCGAATTGCCCCAGGGTTTAGGGTTTAGGGTTTAGGGAAACAACAACCACAACTGACCTTACACAAATGTAGAAACTCGGCTGGGGCTGAGCAAGGCGCCAAGGCTACGGATGTGACCTCCACCACCGACGTCTGCTTGGTTTCTGCCAAGCTCATCTGGAACCTGGGAGTGATTTCTACGAATTCCTTAAGAACCCCCCCCCAAAAAATATAAATAAATATATATATATATATATATATGTATATATATATATAGATATATGTATATATATATATATTATACAATATTCTTCCTTATAAGGGCAATGTAAGGATAAGGGGGGCTAGTAAGCAAATAGTAGTATTCGCTTCTTGGCACACAGCTTCGTTGACGAAGGGTCATGCAACAACTGCCCACGCGGTTGGGTGGCGACTTCAAAGCCGGAGGGTTTAGGGTTTAGGGTTTAGGGTTTAGGGTTTAGGGTTTAGGGTTTAGGGTTTAGGGTTTAGGGTTTAGGGTTTAGGGTTTAGGGTTTAGGGTTTAGGGTTTAGGGCTTACGGTCTGAAAAAGGGGTACCAGTACCCTTGGAGGGCGGGGGATGCCTTCTTGGGATTTCTTGGGCTCTAAAAGGGCAACCCCCCCCACCTTCCCGTTTGGAAACTGTGCAGCGAGCCCAGACAGGGCCTGAAAACTCAAGGGCGCGGTTTTGGGTGTTAGGGTTTACGGTTTAAATCCTAAACCCTAAACCCTAAACCCTCAACCCTAAACCCTCAACCCTAAACCCTAAACCCTAGGGACTGGGAGGACACCCTAAACCCTAAACCCTCAACCTGAAAGGAGGGTCCGTGGCCGGGCCCTTACAGGTCGGAGGTTGGAGGAGGCCGAGGCGAGTCAAGCCTTGAAGCCTAGCCTCAGTATTTCGGGGTTCAGGGTTTAGGGTTTAGGGTTTGGGGTTTAGGTTTAGGGTTTAGGGTTTGGGGTTTGGGGTTTGGGGTTCGGGGTTTGGGGTTTGGGGTTTGGGGTTTAGGGTGTGTTTGAACCTTGGATTGCCCTAAACAATCCTGCAGTTTTGGGGTTTGGGGGTTAGGGTTTGGCCCTAAACCGACGCACCTAGACCGAGCTTTGAAGCATAAGCTCCCACTGCCCCAGACCTTCCTGAAAAGGTCATGACTAGCTACAAGCACGTTAAGAGTACTACCAGATGAACCCGAAAAGCGGTTTGGGTTTCGGGCTTACTGTAGAGTTTAGGACTTCAAACCTTCACTTTCTAAGAACAACCTGCTCATATGGTTACGCGACTTGTAGCGCAGTTGCGCACAGTTCGAAGGGCTATATCTCTACTAGACCCTAACCCTAAACCCTAAACCCAAAACCCTAAACCCTAAACCCTGAGAAAAGGAAATCCATGAAGCTGCTTAAGCTAAGTCTGTAGTTTTGATGAGGGAAGCCATCACCTTAAGGACCAATTGAATCCCCTCTTAGCGTTCACTTGGTCATTCAATTGATTCTGGGTTTAGGGTTTAGGGTTTAGGGTTTAGGGTTTAGGGTTTAGGGTTCAGGGTTTAGGGTTTAGGGTGTAGGGGTAGTTTCATGGTCCCTGAGTATGGACCCTGGAAGAGGGTACCCCATATATGGTTCCGTGTCCCGTGTCGGTACCCCCCCCCCCCCTCATAGTATCCCCCCCCCACCACCCCCCCTCAGCCGTAAACCCTAATCCCTAAACCCTAAACCCTAAACCCTAAACCCCTAAACCCCTAAACCCCTAAACCCTAAACCCTAAACCCTCAACCCAAACCCCAACCACACTACCCCACAGGGGGGCCCAAACCACAGGGGGTCGGGGCGGGGACCCTAAACCCTAAACCCTAAACCCTAAACCCTAAACCCTAAACCCTAAACCCTAAACCCTAAACCCTAAACCCTAAACCCTAAACCCAAAACCCTAAACCCTAAACCCTAAACCCTAAACCCTCAAGACAAAATAAATAGAAATTGTATGTGGTATCATTCTGAATATCCCAGGTTATTTGTCTAAACAGCTGACAAGCAGAGTTTGAGTAAACTAATCCAAAACGCTTCTGGGAGGCCGAGTTTAAGTAAATTGATTCAAAATATTACTGGGAGGCAAAATATTCAATTTACTTAAACCTGCCTCCCCTGACCTCCCCCCCCCCCCCCCCCCCCACTCAAAACCCCCTCCCGCCCTTTCGGCCCCTCTTAACCCTCTCCGCTCGGACTCAGCAAAACCTTGGTTCCACGCCACCCAAAACCTTGGTTCCACGCCACCCCCCCCAGCCCTTCCCAACACTCCCCCCACCTCGCCCTCTCCCGACCCTCCCCCCCCCTCCTCCCCCTTCCCCCTCCCCCCAATCCCCCCCGTCCCCCCCCTCCCCCTTCGGGAGCTAATTTTGAGCTCCGGGAGCTAATTTTGAGCTCTGGGTAATTTTGAGCTCCAGAATTTAACATCCTGCTTCCGCACAGGAGCCTAAAAAAACATCCCAAGAGAGCACTAAGGAGTGACTCTCTCTTTTCTCTCTCTGTTCTCTCTCTGTTCTGTAGGGTTAGAAGCGGAAAGACACATGTCAAATGGGAGTTCATTTCCCAAAAGCCACAAAACGCTCCAGACATGAAATTGTCTTCAAACACCTCTCTCGTCGGGGGAAGTTGAACGCTCGGTCCCCGAATTCAGCATGATGCTAGTTGCACACGCTGGGTCCCCGAAGAAGCAGGATGCTAGTTGAACACGCTCGGTCCCCGAAAAAGCAGGATGCCAGGATGCTAGTTGAACACGCTCGTTCCCCGAAGAAGCAGGATACTAGTTGAACACGCTCGGTCCCCGAAGAAGCAGTCTGGCTCCTGCAATCCTCTCAGCCAAGCCCCAGCAAGAAAACATGCCAACAAAAAGTCCCCTAAAAAAGAAAACAAGCCAACAAAAAGTCCCGTAGCAGGCAATCCTCTCAACCAAGCCCTAAAAGCAAAAAAGCCAACAGAACGTCCTGCAACAGATCCATGTCCTAGAAGCAGGCCAACAAAAATCCTGTAACAGATCGGCTCCTACAATCCTCTCAACCAAGCCCTAAAACGAAAACATACCAACAAAAAGTCCTTTAACAGCTCGGCCCCTGATGATTTTCAGCATTGCATTCTCAAAACCTGTATGTTGGCCTCATTCTGAATCTTCCAAAATCTTTATCTAAAGCAACTGACAGCCGACAAGCCGAATTTAAGTAAACTAATTCAAAGCGCTTTTCACTTAAACCTCTGGTCCAAAAAAGCAGCCCGCCCCCAACTGGCACGCCCCCTGCCCTCATCCGTCCTATCACCCTTCCCAGCTGACCCTCCCCCCCTGTCTTCCTGCCTTCCTTCCTAACTCCTTCCGGCCAAATTTCAACCCAGCCTGGCTCCAAATTAGGCCCCCAAACCTCAATGATTCCCCTTATACATGGAGTCACGATTACATTATCAGCACATTCTTGTTGATGTATCATTCCGAATTTACCAAATTTTCTATTCAGCTTGATATTAGGTTGAGGTACCCACATATATACATATACATATATATATACATATATATGTCATCTTTGCAGAATTATAGACAATGACCAAGCTACATTGTTTTTGACTTGCAGTGTGTTACTCCTGGGCTAAAGAGGTGAGAGCGACAAAAACCTGCTTCTAGACAAACTTCCTCCTCCACAGAGTTTTCCAGGTCCTCAGGTTGGACATGCAAGAACCGTTCACACACACAATGCAACGCATGCTCACTCTCACAGAGAAGCCAAGCCCGAGGCGCAGTGCCAACCGGACGACCTGCCTTTCTGGCGCCGTCATCCTCGTCGGCGTCACGTGTCGACAATCTGCGACTCAGCTCCTGCCAAGCAACAAAGCAGCACGTATGAGATCACTAGAACCCAAGATCTGCACTCCTCGATGGAGTTTTGGCCCCACTTCTTCGGGCCACCGCTAGTCAAGGTCATGCGCTCGTGGACCAAGCCACAAAGCTCGTCCAGCAGCATCGTGCCCTGCCTGGGTAAAGAAAGAAATCGACAACCACCAGCCGGAAGGACAAAAGCATGCAAGAATAATGTAGGCACCAGGCATGGTCTGCCTTGCATAGAAACCAAAGATTCATTGCAAATATATTCTGAGGTATCCAAGGATTCATTGAATCCTTGTAAAATCTTAAATTCATGAAAATTTCAATTGGGCTTCTCTAGAGTTTTCAGAATTCTATCCATTATATTTTTTTGAAATATCCCATGGAAATCCTCAAAATATTTTGAAATGATTCAGAATCAAAAGAATTCTATCCATAATAAGAATTTTGTTTTTCAAATTAGATATCCCATTACCAAAAATTGCTAAGAAAAATCCCAAAATCGTTCTCCCGTCCCGTCGTATCATCTGCCGCCCACCCCCCCCCCCGCCACGCCGTCCCTAAAACCTAAAATCTAAAAACAAAACGTTTCGCTCAAAACTTTCGCACAAAACGTTTCGCTCAAAACTTTCGCACAAAACGTTTCGCTCAAAACGTTATTGGGACCCAAACCCTATACAATTTCTATAAACCCTAAACCTCAAACCCTAGTCTTAAACCCTAAACCCTAAACCCTAAACCCTAACCCCTAACCCCTAACCCCTAACCCCAAACCCCTAACCCCTAACCCCTGACCCCTAACCCCTAACCCCTAACCCTCAACCCAAACCCCAACCACACCACCCCACAGGGGGGCCATGGGGGCGGGGGGGGGGGGGGGGGTACCATGGGGTGGGGGGGGGGGGGGGGGGTGGGGGGGGGTGGGGGGGGGTGGGGGGGGGTGGTGGGGGGGGGGTGGGGGGGGGTGGGGGGGGGTGGGGGGGGGGAGCGACGCTGCACCATACAGACACCGTGTACCCCCTATGCAAATTAAGAGCCTGTACATCAAAAGCTTTTAGAGGAGGTTAGGGACTATCTTGAGAGCCCATGAAACTACCCTAGCCCTAAACACTAAACCCTAAACCCTAAACCCTAAACCCTAAACCCTAAACCCTAAACCCTAAACCCTAAACCCAGAATCAGAGGCACAAAAAGGCAAGAGGCCTGTCCACGTATGGGAAGGGAATCGGTGGAGTCGGCTTGCCCAAGAACTCCACGAGGGGGCCCCAACCTCGAAGTGATCCAGAGGTTTAGGGTTTAGGGTTTAGGGTTTAGGGTTTAGGGTTTAGGGTTTAGGGTTTAGGGTTTAGGGCTTAGGGTTTAGGGCTTAGGGTTTAGGGTGAGGACGTAGACGGCTTAGGGCTTTCCAGGATTTAGGGGTTTGGGGTTTAGGGTTTGGAGTTTAGGGCTTTAGGGTCTAGGGTTTAGGGGGTTTACACCCTACACCCTAAACCCTACACGCTTGCAGGCCAGGCAGGGAAATGGGATTATAGGGTTTGGGGTTAGGGTTTAGGGGGTGCTGCGCTGTTGGGAGAGGGGTTGGGGTTTAGGGTTTTGGGTTTAGGGTTTAGGGTTTAGGGCTTAGGGCTTAGGGCTAAGGGCTTAGGGCTTAGCCGGTTAGCCAAGTGGGCATGTGGCCAGAAGCCGCCAAGTGGCCATCAGACAAGTTGAAGATCAGGAGTTGCTCCTTTGGGATCGTGCGGATCACCTAGGTGGAGTTTTGATTGCTTTCATTAAAAGAATCTTAACTTGTTTGAAGTTTTGAATAATTTCATTTAGTCTTACTTGCTATTAGTTCAAGAAAGCGGCTGCCCCCCTTGTCTTCATGAGCTCTATGTGAGAGATCCATACCCCTAAAGCCAAGAGACAAAAAAAAAACACCAAACCCTAAACCCTAAACCCCTAAACCCTACACACTAAACCCTAAACCCAAAATTAAAAAACACTCCTAACCAGCCAGGTCGCCCTGTCCCGATGTTGGCGGAAGCCCTCGAGACATCTATTCCTTACTTTTGGAGTAGACCCTGGCAAAAAAAGTACCTAAACCCTAAACCCTAAACCCTAAAACCCTAAAACCCTAAAACCCTAAAACCCGAAAACCCTAAAACTCTAAAACCCTAAAACCCTAAAACCCTAAATCCCTAAAGTCCTAAAACCCTAAAACCCTAAAACCCTAAACCCTAAACCCTAAACAAAACCCAGATTCCGGACCTCTTCGGTGTGGCGCAACTCGGGGTCGCTGAAGCGGCAGCCCCAGAAGCGGCAGCCTGTGCCTTAACTGCTGAGTTCATAAGCCCCCCCAAAAGGATTTAGGGTTTAGGGTTTAGGGTTGAGGGTTTAGGGTTTAGGGTTCAGGGTGTAGGGTTTAGGGTTTAGGGTTTAGGGTTTGTAAGAATGTACACGTTCAGTTCTAGAGGGGATTCGAGCATCCCAGAAAGTGTAACGTGTACTTACTCGGCTACTACTATACACCCCCCCCTTAGAACCTTAACAAGAACACTATTTTTTTGAATATCCTCTTGGGTTTTGTATACACAAAAACTAATTTTAAAAACTCCCAAGGGGGATATAGACTAAGGGTGCAAATCCAATGAGACTCCTCGCTGTCCCACTCCTCGTCGGGATTGTACCCATGCAGCCTTGGATGTTCGGCTGAGGCGCCGATTCCGGATGCATGCTGCTGGCTCGTTCTCTGACTTTCTCCGCTTCCGAACCCTAAACCCTAAACCCTAAACCCTAAACCCTAAACCCTAAACCATAGTTTACTTGTCTTTCGAAGCAGACGACGCACACTCCCTGTCTTCATGAATCCCTGAACAGTACTATCGATCCATCTGGTTTAGGGAACTTCTAAAAAAAGGCAAAGCGCCCTCCAACCTAGAACTACATCAACGCTGCGTCTTGAGACCTTATACCCTTATACATCCTCAGCCTCACTCAAGCCAAGGGACGGGTGTCCCAGAGGTCGTGGAAAGAAGTCGGCGCGTGTTCGCTCAGATTGCCGCTTGCCCTGCTTTCCACGCAGGCTAGACAATCCTAGCTGAGAGCAGAAGGGAGGGGGGAGGGGCGGGGGTCAAGGAATGTATGGTTCAAAGCTTAAGGTTCAGATTCTGGGCGCCTCATCTCTAATTAGATGTCAGCGACAGAAAACTGGGACATATCCCAGACAGGTTGCTGTGTATCACGTCCGTCTCATGGCCAGGATAGTAGTTGTGCCTATCGTAAATTGTGGTGTCGGCTGATTCTACTTGATGCGCGTAGAATTCCAGGTACTGGTCATACCATGAATCTGGGTCAGCCACTGTGTACACGAACTTGGCGTCAGGAATCGCCTGCAAAACCTCATCATAGAGCAGATGGAAAGGCTCGTCCATGGCAGCCTCGAAGCCTGTCAGATTGTCGAAGGGCGGCCGCGTGCCGTTGGCAAACAGATAGTCGCACCAAGTCCATCGCAGATGCGTGTAGTAACCACTCCAAAGGGGATTCAGACCCAGCTGCTTCAGTGCCTCAAACATACTTTGAGTGCCGCTTCGTGGTGCCCCCACATCCAGAACGAACTCAGCGAGGCAAACGTGGACAGCGGCAAAGAGGCACACCTTGCTGATCATGGTGGGCACATAGGCAGCCACCGCCAGTATCTATGGAAACGGAGGGAAGCGCCCTGTGGTTTTGCAGGGCGGTCTCAAGAGAGACTGTATGAGCCGCAAGGCGACAGCACACACACGTATTCGCAGCGCCAACTGCTGCTTGTGAGACCTCGAACACCCCCTACGCACCCTTCTAAAGGTAGTTGCCTGGTCCCTTTTAAAAAGGGTATACCCTTGTATACCTTATACAAATTAAGGCCCGTTACATCAGAACCCTTTAATGGAGGTTAGGGACCATATTCAGGACGGGGACTAGCCTTGACAGGCTCTCCAATTTCTTGAGGTTAACGCAGAGTTCTGATTAGCAACAGGTTGGGAAAAGTAGGGGGGGGGGGGGGTTACGGGGGCGGGAGAGGGGGGAGAGGGGGAGGGGGGCGGGGGGGGGGGGGGGAGAAGGTGCAGGGAGGAGGCTACACCTTACTTGGCTCTCCCTCTCTCTCGCCCTTTGCTCTTTCTACTTCTCCTGTTCCAGGGCTGAGTCTTTAATTTACGCTTTCAGCTTACTCAAGTACTGACGCTTGGAGGGAGGCTTTGTTTGGTTCAAATTATGTTGCTTCGGGCACATGTGCGCGAATACGAACCACGTTACGAATCGGAACCGTGCCTAAACCCTAAACCCGAAACCCCAAACCCTAAAACCCTAAACCCTAAACCCTTAATAAACAAATATAAATAAAGAAAAATATATACATATAGATATATATATGCAAATTTGTAGGAAACTTTTTTTTGCTGGCGTCGGCTTTGGGCTTTACGGTTCTCCAGCTTCCGGTTCCTAGCTTTAGGGTCTGGGAGGTAGGGTCGCTGAACGAGGTGGTGGAACCTTGGGGTTCATGACGCTAGCATCCACCAGCGCTTGTAGGGTTTAGGGTTTAGGGTTTAGGGTTTAGGGTTTAGGGTTTAGGGTTTAGGGTTCAGGCTTTAAGGAGGGTTTAGAGTCGACGTAGCTAAGGCGGGTGCAAACATCGAGAAGTGTAATTACCAAGCCTCGGGTTTCCTGTCTAGGCTTCGGAATCCCAACAACACCACCCAATGGCCCACTGACATTGGGATACACCCTCAACCCTAAACCCTAAGCCCTAAACCCTAAACCCTAAGCCTTAACCCCTACAAACATTAAACCCTAAACCCTAAACCCTAAACCCTAAACCCTAAACCCTACCCTAAACATGCGAAGCAAGGGCATGCTTCACATTAAATCAAGTTCCCAACGCTGGCAAGCAGGACCACAGTACCTGCCACGGCAAGTTCTGTCTGACACTGCTTAGACGCCTGCTGGAAGGTCCTGCACGTCTTGCTAGTAGCCCAAGGAAGGTTCGTTACGGTATATCAGTGCAAACTCTAGTTTCCCTGCTTATACCCCAAGTGATAAGTGCGCATATGAACAATCAAAATATAAATTCCTCCCTTGCATAGGATGCGACGGCGCAGAGTCGCAGAGTCCGGGGCACAGGAATCATTTTTACGCGACCCGCTGTTGGCTTCATGTGTTTTTTAGGACAGGCTTTGATTCATTTGTAATTAAGTAGTTAACATATTGTTAGCATCAACATTGTTTGCGTCGGTCTTTTCATCATAGGTGACATCAGACTTTGTTTCACCAGCAACTTTAGCAAACACAGACTGAGTACCCCAAACCCTAAACCCTAAACCCTAAACCCAAAACCCAAACCCTACACCCTAAGCCCTAAGCCCTAAACCCTAAACCCAGGAGGCTTAGGGCTCTACTGTCTCGCCGGACACGAGTTCAAGGTCTCAGGGCTTTGCGCTTAAGCTTTCAGAAGGTTCCAAGAGCCTCGCAAAAGCCCGCGGCCAGATGAACGCAGAGTTTTAGGGTCGAAGGGTTTAGGGTTTAAAAGGTTAAAGGGTTTAGGGCTTAGGGTTTAGGGCTTCGAGACCTTAACTTCCTGTTGCATCTCGAGTATGCGCCGACCGCTCACCCGCAGAAGCTGAAAAGAAACGCCCCGCATTCTTGCTTGCGCATGGCAGGGGACCGTGACACCCTAAACCCCAAACACTAAACCATAAACTGGCCCTAAACCCTAAACCCTAAACCCTGAACCCTGAACCCTGAACCCGGAGCCCGCGCACCCAGCGCCGCAGCGCTGGCACCGGAAGTCGCCAGGCGCGCCGCAGGTGGCGCAGCGCACGCCCAGGATGGCCAGGAGTTCGACCTGCGTTTTTGGGGGGGGGGGGGCCTTTTGAGGGTTTAGGGTTTAGGGTTTGGGTTTAGGGTTTAGGGCTAGGGTTTAGGGTTTAGGGTTTAGGGTTTAGGGTTTAGGGTTTAGGGTTTAGGGTTTAGGGTTTAGGGTTTAGGGTTTAGGGTTTAGGGTTTAGGGTTTAGGGTTTAGGGGGTAGGCTTGGGGTTCCGGGTTAGGGTTATGGAGTCTTTAGGGCGTGTGGGGCTTCTGGCTTCTGGTCGAGGGCTTCTGGGAAGCCATGGGGTTAAAGATCGTGCGGTCACGATTTTTCGGGGGGTGGGGGTTTGGGGTTTGGGGTTCAGGGTTTCGGGTTTAGGGTATAGGGTACAGGGTATAGGTTTAAGGGTTCGTTGGGGTGTAGGGCTTCGGGCTTAGGGTGTAGGGTTTGGGGTTTAGGGTCCTGAGTCAGGATAGGGACCCTGAACCCTCAACCCTCGAGACCCTGCGAGAGAACCTTCCTGAATGGAGAGAGGTTGGGATGTTCCCCCTTATGCTATGAACCCTAGCCCTTAACCCTAAACATCCCAAGAGAGAGGCGTAGTGGCGAGTCTGTGGGTTTAGGGTTTAGGGTTCAGAGTTTGCAGGGTGGGATGCTCCCCCTTAAACTAGCAGTCCTTAAGCGGGAGTGGAGTACTCCCTGTTACTTAAATCCCCTACCCACCCCCCCGTTTAGGGCTTAGGATGGCAAGGTTTGGGGTTTAGGGTTTAGGGTTTAGGGTTTAGGGTTTAGGGTTTAGGGTTTAGGCTTTGTGGGCGCTTTCTGTAGAACGGTCTTTGACCCCAAAAAAGCTCGAACACAAGCTTTGGACTAGATAGCATCCACGTGGAAAGGAGTTTAAACAGGGATCCTTATCCTCAAAAGCAGTGACTAAGGGCGGTACAAGAATGAAATTGTTCACGGAACCCGAAGCCCTGATCCCTAGAAAGCCCTAGGGTTTAGGGTTTGGGGTTTAGGGTTTAGGTTTTAGGGTTTAGGGTTACCAAACACAAAAACTTACACCAACAGAGAAGAATGAATTGCCCGAATCCTCAGGTACAATGCTTGAATGGTCAAAGGCGTAGTCTCTGAAAAACCTTAAACCCTAAACCCTCAACCCTAAACGCTTGAGTCCTTTGACCCGCACCTTGCGCACTTTGCGCGCTTTGGCGGCGTGAAAAGATTTGCATGCAGGTCTAGGGTATTCAGGGTTTAGGGTTTAGGGTTGAGGGTTTTTTCGCACTCATGGGTTTTGTGGGGTGGGTTGTTGGTGAAACGGGTTTAGGCTTAGGGTTTCGGAGGCTTAGCGCTTGGGGTTTGGTGGTTCCCGTCAGGAGAGGGTTGAGCAAACTTATCCTAGCAACTCCCTGAACTCTAAACCCGAAGCCCCAAACCCTACACCCTAAAGTCTGATCCCCCTAAACCTCCAAACCCCGTATCTATGCCCACACTGCAACCTTGCAGCAAAGCCACAAACCCAGATCGAAACCCTCCAAGCCCCAACCAAACACCAACTTCTGAAACCTCCAACCCTGTAAACCCTAAACCATAAACCCTAACCCCGAAACCCTCTAACCCTCTAACCCTCTAACCCTCTAACCCTCTAACCCTCTAACCCTCTAACCCTCTAACCCTCTAACCCTCTAACCCTCTAACCCTCTACCCCCCCAAAACCTACCAAGGCCTGAACCCCAAACCCACCCAACCCTACACCCGAAACAAAGTCACATGCCACTGTCACTACCCCAGGGCTCTCGTAAGGATCAGTAGCGCAAATGCCTCCTGAGCCCAAGGCAAAGACAGGGAGAGCAGCAAGTAGCTCGAAACCCTGAAGCTTAGTTGCGCAGCCAGGCAGACCGTACGGCTTTCGGAAAGACAACTTTCGCGAATAATCGGCAACCAAAATGCACTCAGGAAATGTAGCGGATTTTGGAAATGGCTGGACGAAACTATATTCGAAACAGGTGACATCTTCAGAACTGACGAGAACATCGAAACATGTCATGTCGTATCGGATTTTTCTTCTTGCCACTGATATGTTCATTACTTTTATCGTTGTTATGTGTGTTTGGTTTTCATGTTTGTCTTTCTGGGCTCGTTTGTTTGTCTGTTTGTGTCACCTTTTCGCGAAGCTCTTATTTCCCAGGTACATGTTCCAAATGCATGTTTGGCACCCCCAAACCTAAAACCCAAACCCCCAAACCCTAAACCCACACAGTTTTTGCACAATCTCAATGATTTTTGCTTTCTTCTAGTTCTACCTGGGCTTGTTGTGCGCTTCTACCCCAAAAATCGTGAATTCTGAGCCCTGAAGGACTTTTCGGGTTTAGGGTTTATCGGGTTAAGGATTGAGGGAATTGCTGGGCTGCAAAAAGGGCTCTGGGATCTGGGTTTATGCGTTTCCAGCTGAACACGTCGTGGGCTTAGGGTGCGTGTTGAAGCAAGGGCACGCCCGACAGCCAACAACATAGCCTCTGTCCAAGAAATGTTTCAACATCCTGTGCATACCCCCTCAAAAAGAAGTGGGGGGGGGGGGGGGGGATGGTAAGGGGGTATGGTAAGATCCTTCCTTACATTCTCCTCTTTTTTTTGGCTGAGGGGTATCATGGTCCCTTAGAAGGGGACCCCTTATATACTATGAGCTTAAGAACCACAAAAGAATAAAAAACACAAATCCCTAGATTACCCTTATAAGGGAGAATAGTTCGTGTTTTTTGGGGGTTCTTAAGCAATTAGTAGTTTTATACCCTGCACAACCCAAGGGCCCATATGAAGCGACAAGA